AATTTGCCAATCTTCAATCTTAAGTGTATGCAGTAATTGTTCTAGAATTCGCTGAGCGCTATTATCGACATTCAATTAATTTGTTATTAGAGTTGGGCTGTGGCTCGGTGGCTCTGACTGTGAACGATCAATTTGACTTTAACCAAATGCTGTAATTAAGACTTAATCTTTGAAATCCTGCTAAATGATCAATTTACGCACGGCTCGAAGCATTCGCTGGAAATGATAAATATCGGAAAATATAAAGCGCAACACGCACCGGCGACCAGTTCTTAAGTGTTTTTTATTCGGAAACTCGTTCTCACAGATTTCTTGACAATATATATGTACATATATATGTATATATATGTTACATATACATATATATCAATATTGCGACTAAGTTGGCTATGCCAAACATCCGCATTGGCCAGGGCGGGTCTCCAGCAGCCGCCGCCTTTACCACCTGCACCTCCTGCACCACCTGCACCTCCTCCCTCATCATCGTCGTCGTCGTCGTCGTGCTGTAACCACGAGCTGCACTTTGCATGCTCACACGAAGTCTCGCAGCCTCCAACAAAAGTAAAAGTTCAGTTCTCGTTATAAAGATTTGAATTTGGCTTTTGGGCCCGACGCGAATTCGGCTATAAAAGCATTTGAGCCCAGTTAGCAGGCATTATTAAGCGTCGTGTTCTCGCCTCGTCTAAAACTCCATTTGCAACATGTTCAAATATGTAAGTCCTCACATTGGCCCCGGGTCAAGTCTCCGTCGTGTCTAAGTCTGCTCTGGCCCATCTTCTAGATCCTGGTCGCCTTCTGCTGCTGCTTGGCCAGCGCTGCTGCTGCTCCTGGCTACTTGGGTGGCTTGGCTGCGGCTCCGGCTCTGTCGTTGGCCGCTGCCCCGGCCATCTCCTATGGCCACGCCCTGGCCGCACCGTCGATCACCTCGTATGGACTGGGCCCCAGGATTGGCCTTGCTGCGCCTGCTCTGGCTCGTGCTCCCGTGCTGTCTTCCTATGGCTTGGCTCCCAGGATTAGCTATGCGTCCCCAGCTCTGGCCCATGGACCGATTGGCCTGTCTGCCGCACCCCTTGGCCTGGCTTCGCCACTCGGCCTGGCCTCACCCCTCGGACTTGGCTACAGGTCGTACGCTTCTCCTGCTCTGAGCCTGGGCCATGGCTGGTAGAGAGCGAAAGATTGCCACCTGGAGATCGAGCATCCCTATTGCTTTTCATTTCGTATGCACCCAAAATTTCTGAGAGCAAGTGAATTTGAGTTTTGAATTAAACACACATTTCGTATTGATCAAGATTGACTCTGAGCTTTATTGGACTCTGATTGGATTACAACAGTTAAGAATTTCAATTTGAAGTCTCTCACGCGCTCCGCCCATGCTCACCAGCCGTAGCCATGGCCATAGCCATAGCCCAGTCCCAGGCCCAGGCCCAGACCCAGGCCGTGGCCGTAGAGCCCGTGTCCGTAGCCGCCCAGATAGCCGTGGCCCAGGCCGTAGCCATAGCCGCCCAGATAGCTCTTGCCGATGATGGTCTTCGTGACGATGGGCGCTGCAATGGTCTTGACGATGGGCGCATGGTAGCCCAGGCCCAGGCCCAGGCCCAAGCCACCATAGTGACCGCCTAGACCCAGACCCAGGCCCAGGCCCAAACCGCCATAGCCCAAGTAGTCGTGGCCAAGACTGGGCGCAGGAGCCGGTGCCGGTGCAGGAGCCGGTGCTGGTGCCGGAGCTGGCTCTGGTGCTGGGGCAGCCAGACAGCCGCTCAAGCACAGCGCTGCCAGCAGTAAAAGCTGGCGGGGATTAGGACTCGGATTAGTATTTGGCTTGGACTCTACTTAATGCTGCCACTTACTCCTTTGTACATGTTGCTATTAGCTAGTCAAGTGCCACGTGATTAACTCCAAAAGCTGTGTGCCGCTTGTGCTGCTGCAGCTGCTCGCTGCGTGGCTCTTTTATATGTTGCAGGAACCGGCGGCAGCACTCGGCTGCCACCAAAATTGGGCCGTCGATGATCTAATGGGCGCTGCATTTGGCCACTGGCCACTGGCCACTGTCCGGCTGCTTCACTTAATCTACTTTGTCAGCTTTGCGTGCCTTGATTTTGTTTCAGTTTTAGTTTCTGTTTTTTTTTTTTTGCTTCTTTTTCATTTTGGTCACAGACATTTCACTCGTTTCGCGCATTGCTCATACGCAATGTGGTCCGGCATGCATTGGGCAAGTGTTTAATTTGCAACATGCCGGCAGGCGACAAAGTTTTGGGCGTGACCACAACTGCCTTGCGAGCAACCGTTTCCTGCTGCCACTTTGTGGCTAGAATCGCTGGATCGCTGCTCGAAATAAGGCCAAAACACAGACGAAAACCCACTTTGAAATAAGGTCAATGAGCTCTCGATATACAAATCTTTGTGTGAGCATTTGTGACGCAAAAATTTATGTATACAGAGCAGATCAACAAAGAGATCTGTAATCAATTCTCTGCTGCGCGAAGTGTCGATCGTCAACAGATTGGGCAACCGGCAACACATTTAAGACAATAAACCCCAAACCAGACAATGGCTAACTAAAAACCCATTTACTAAATGCCGCCAACTGAAACTGAAGACGACGAGGGCTTTGGTTTAACGACTAACAGATGCGCTGTAAATGAAGCTGAAGTTTTGAAATTTGAAAACATAAACTATATATAGTTATAAGTATATGCAAGGTTTACGTATTATTTGTGTTAGTAATATTAAATCTACTATAGTGATATAGACATCATCGGAAAGGTAAATTTTCAATCCAGAATTTTGCATTTTCACTTTTTTAATTTTAATTAATATTACATGTTTTATGGGCGCTTGAAGTTGAAAAATAAAAAAAAGAAACGAATATTTATGCTAGACACTGTAGATACTTAGACGATTACACGTCTTCTTCTGCCTTTCCTATTTAACTGCAGAGAACCATTCTACTCTGAATTCCAGTTCTCAATTTATGCAGGGCTTAAAAAGTTTTTGGTATGTGAGTAGATTATGCATGCCATTGAAGAAGAATATATACAGAAGTATACATTAAATTTGATTGGATTTACGATCTAAGGTACTTCCACACGATCAAGTGAATGTCTTGCTATGGCTAGACAGGATTTATCAGTGATTCCTAACAGAATATGTAAGCAAAATTACATATCAAAGCAGCCAGCTCTTGCCTGATTATAAATTTCTCTTAAATTCTTCACTGAAATAAATGTTCGCTTCTGTTCCCCAATCTTCCGTGGTTTATGAGTTAAGTTAGTTAAGCAGACACTTTTACTGCTTACTGTGGCAAATTCCTCTGTTTATAGAGTGCCTAGCTGCTTTACGACTGTGCTACCCGCTCTTAGGCTAGTTTCCGACTGTATATCGTAACACTAAAGAAATGAAGATAAAACACACAAAACTAAAATTACATTCATAAGCTCCACAAAAGAGTCACTGACACTTGGATAAACCACAACAACCACAGCGAGCGATCCGCGACGTGTTTAAACTTGAACTTGAAAACGAGTTTTCGGAGTGTGAGTGTGAGTGGAGTTCGTGTTGGAGACGGTCACTATGAGTGTTGCAACTGGTTCCCCATGCGAGCTGCGATGCAGCCAGAACCAGTTCTGAAGAAGCCACCAGCTGAATCTCTAACTGTACTTGGAGGCAGGCCCCAAGTTGTAAGCGGTTGAGTCAGCACCGAGCGCTTAGTCGCACTGCAGTCAGAAAGTGGAACACATCTCGCAGAGCTCTCAGAATGCGTGGCTGCGCATTCGCCTACACGATTCTCCTGCTGCTGGCGCTGCAGGAAGCCCGAGCTGCCACAGTCGTCTATCACCAGCCCACGGCTGTGATTTATCACCATCCGGCCACTGGGGAGCCGCAGCAGCATCCGGGCTACACCATTGTCGCCCCACTCACCAAGATCGCACACGTCACCTACGACTCGGTGCCCGTCTCCCACACGCCCTTCGAGCATGTGCCGCTCTTCCAGCGCATCGGCCACGTGAAGAACGTGCGGCTCTAGGACTTGGCTTAAGGCAGTGGAAATAAATTGATATACAAATATTTATTCGCCAAGCATTCTGCTTACTGCTGTGTGTGTTTTGGTCTAGGGATGTGTGGGGGTGGCTAAATCTAAGCTAGCTAAGGATGGGGACTGTATCTAGATGAAGTAGGGAGCGGGCGCTGGGAACCTGGGTGCGGCGAAGGGAAGCGCAGCTGGCAGTCCAAAGCGAGCGGGCGCTGCAAAGCCGATGGGGGCACCCAGAGGAGCAGCCAGAGGAGCGCCCAGGGGAGCAGCCAGTGGGGCTGGTGCAAAGGCAGGTGCGGCAAAGGCAGGTGCTGGAGCCAGAGCAGGAGCAGCGAACGCCACCTTGGGTGGTGCGGCGAAAGCCACTGGAGCTGGCACTGGAGCAGCCAGAGCCACGGGCGCAACAGGTGCCGGTGCTACGGGGTAGGCCACGGCGTGGTTAATCCGGTGGGCATTGAAGCTGGAGGCATAGGGCGCCACGACGCCAGCGGCAGCGAGTGGTGCAGGTGCAGCGGCCAGGGGCAGCAGACCCGCCTGGGCACCGGCCACGCAGGCGAGAGCGACGAGCTGTTGGATGGAGCAGAGCGTAAGTCCAAGTCCTTCGATCAGCAGCTGTGCTTGACTTACCATAATCTTGGCGAACATTTTGTTTGGGTGGTGGCTGGTGGTTGGGTGGTTGGCTTGAGGGCTAACAAAGCTTTGATGTTCGATTGTGCGGTGCTGGGCGTTTTTATAATTCTGCCATCTGCCGGACTATATGGATATACATATGTGGGTGGTTGTGGTGGGGCATACCAAAAGCGAATCGCAAGACTTTCTACATAAGGCCGTGGTGCGAAGGGCGTTCGCTGTACTTAATAATCAATTGGCCATCTGTTACGTAGTATCGACGCCCACTTTCATAATTGCACGCCAAAGTGCGACACCACCGCCACCACTGGCTAGCCCACTGGCCGACATTCGGTTGAGCAAGTTTTCGTTTTTGTTTTTGGTTTTTGCTTTTGGTTTTTATTTATTGTTTTGCTTTTGCGGCATCGATATTCACCTACTAATGAGCCACATTTATCGTACGTGACACCTAATGTGGTGTCAACCACTCAAACCACTCTCTCGCTCTCCCTTCCACACTCTCTTTCTTTCTCTTTCCCTGGCTATCGCTTTGTCCCCCAATTAATATTCGATTTCTTCACTGCAATTGTCGCATGTTCAAAATTATGTTTGCTTGTTTTTTTTACCCCTCTGCACCAGCGACTATGGATAGCCCTCATGCATATACCTCAATGTACTTGTGTACCCCTACCATAGACCTCCTCTGTCTTTCTCTCTCTCTCTCTCTCTCTCTCTCTCTCTCTCTCTCTCTCTTTGCCTTCTCTCTGTTCATTGTCACTCTTTGTGTCTGGAATTCCTGATTTGCTTTGCCTGCAATATTTTGTCTGCATTTTACACTGTCGAACAAGGAAATAAAGTTTAGTTTCAGACACATATAAGTGTAGAGATATGTAGAAAATGATTATAAACAATAAGAAGCTAGTTTAAGTGTATAGAATAAGAACTCTGCTTATCTACTTAAAACAATTTTTATCTCTTTTCGTTCAATTCCTTTCCACACTAAATTTATTCCCATCAACAGTTAAAATTCTCATAAATTTTCGCTTTCTCTATATTATATTTATATAAATTTATAAATACATAATTTATAATATATTTGATAATTTTCTAAACGACTCAAATCGTCTTTGGTTTCGTTCAATACGAGTATTACGAAGAATATCTATATATAGACCTTTGATGCCCAGTCCAACTCCAACCTGGTTTAGAAGAGCGAATGATGATGATGATGATGAGCCAGCTTCAGGGGCAGAGCGCGCAGATGCGCGTGCGGGGCAGCCACGAGCTTGGGAAAGGCGTAGCCAATGGAGACGCGGTGGGTCGTCTTCTTGGGTCCGGGAATCGCGCGGTAGCTGTGGCTGAAGGGCACCGCCTCTAGCACGGGGGGGAGGAACTGCGTCACAGTGGGCAGATGCACCTCCGTGGTGGGCAGGAGAGCTGGCGCTGGCAACAGCGGTGCAGGTGCGGGCAACAGTGGTGCAGGTGCAGGAATGGGCCAAACTGGTGCTGGGGCGGGCGCAAGTGGTGCAGACCAGAGCGGAGCTGGCGCTAATGGGGCAGGAGCTGGCCAGACTGGTGCTGGTACTGGTGCGGGTGCGGGTACAGGTGCAGGCGCAAGTGGTGCTGGCCACAGTGGTGCCGGAGCTAGTGGAGCAGGAGCCGGAGCTGGTAAATAGGTTTCCTGCAGCTGCAACGGCGCTGCATAGTCCACATGATCCGGCACCACATGCTCGTGCAGTGGTGCAAGATGATCGAAATGGTTGAAGTGGCTCAAATGATCAAAGTGGTGCGACGGTTCGGCCTCCACGCAGACCAAAGCCAAGGCCAAAATGAAAGACTGAAGGAGAAGGAAAAGCTGGTTAGTTGAGGTGGTGCTGGGAGCCACAGTGGTGCACTAGTCCTACCAATTTCAGCTGCCACATCTTGCTTGAGTTTTGTGTGAGTGGTGCAGTGGTGCTGTCCTTGTGCTCAGTTGCTGTTGACCGCTCGAGTCGAAGACGCAGCTATCAATGTCTGCCAATGGATGAGCTCAATTAATTTATAGCTCGCAATGCGTTTAAGCCTGGTCAAATCAGTTGGCCAGTGGCCAAATTGCACGTGCACTTCTTCACTTTCAGTTGAGCCACCACACACACTGAACCACACCTCGCCACCGCTTTCTGGTCGACAACGATTTGGTAACCACGAATCGTGACTTTGTTGTCATCGCGCTTACATTTGCTTAGAAGCCGCCTTAGTTGGGCCTCTGCTTGGCTTCTTATGGCGGTGCTGGCTGACTCAAGGGGGCCAATAACTTCTTGCACCGCTCGATATTATATAAGTGGATGGCTATTTGTGTGCAGCTCGAAATGGAAAACGATTATGACATTCAACATAAAATATTGCCGCGCTTAGATTATCGATCCAAGCGATTGAAAGTTGAACGTGAACAGAGCAATTTATGAGCCACTCAAAGGGAGGGTATAGAGCGGGTATATGAGAGTGCAAGGGAAGTGCATTACTTGTATCATATTATGCGGGACTCTATAAATAAATATATAAACAATTGCCAAATTGTGAGCTGCATAGCTGAAGGAATTTCCTGAAAGAGTTTGGCTGTAAATTGAAGGCAGGGTATCTGATAGTCAGGTACTTTAAATAGAAACGTTTATGATTGTTTTTAATTAAAAAAATTCAATTTTATTTATTGAAAATTCGCTAGGAAAATATGTTCGGTCTTTGAGGCACGTCTAACCCAAAAGTGGAGCGGGAGCAGCGAAGCTGTAGGGCGCGGCATAGGGCGCGGCGTAGGGCGAGCCCAGGGCGTAGGGCGAGGCATAAGGAGCGGCCAGAGGAGCTGCGTAGGGAGAAGCAGCCAGTGGGGCAGCCAGAGGAGCAGCATAGGGAGAGGCAGCCAGCGGTGCGGCCAGTGGTGCAGCAGCATAGGCAGCTGGAATGCCGGAGACATAGCGGCTGGAGTAGGGTGGCGTCAGCTCGAACGGTGCGGTGGTGTAGGAGGACTGGGTGCCATCATAGTTGTTGCGGATATCCACCTGGCTGCTGCCGCCAGCGGCATAGAGCGGTGCATTGGCATAGGCGACTCCAGCGGCGGCCAGTGGTGCAGCGACTGGGGCGACAACGCCTGGCTTGGCCACGGCGCAGGCAACGAGGGCGGCAATGATGAGCTGGCGAGAAAAGAAATCGGGTTAGAGGTGGTTCGAGTGCAGGAGTCGAGGCGCCGCCTTACGAATTTGAACATGTTGGCTGTGGTTGTCAGGTGGTTGAAGCACTGGACTGATAATGTCTGCTAGTGGCACTAACTGCGCTTTATATAGCCATTTAGCCGTATAGCCAGTGCAGTAAGTATTCTGCTCGATATTCGTGCATATTTTGGTCGCTTCTTTGTGTGGCGTGGCACGTGCCTGGCCTCTGATAGTGACACCACCAGCAACAACACCAACAGTCTGCAACCACCAGGTAACCCACCATCATCAGTAGGAAGTCCAAATCGCAGTCGCCGACGCATTGAGAAATTTCGCAAAAGTGCTCGCATTTGTATGCAGACGGCGGCGTCGAGTGGGTCAATTGTGTGGTTGCCAATTACCAATTGGTGGTTTCAGCGCTTTAGCCTCAATTTTCAATTTCAAACTAAGCTGGCCATAAAAACGCGTGTCGCATTAGTGCCGCACTTAACGATCGCTCGTAAAGTTTCAATTGCGCCGCTTCGCCAGCGCATCCTGTGTCGACCTTGAGCCTAACCCCACAGGGCCAACAACAGGATGTGCTGTGGCCAAATCAACCACACTGCCGCTGGCCCCTCTTCCCTGCTGCTCTGCCTCGGATGACGCTGAAACCGGCTTGCGGACTTAATGAGCAATACGCTTGGATCTCGGCTGGTCACGTGCTAGCAGCCTCGCCTCCTCTGTTCCGATACGATCTCTCTCCCTCTCTCTTTTTCCCTCTCTCTATCTCTATCTCTTTTCTTTCTGGGCTTTACATTGTTGCTCGAGATGAACTCAAGGCCTTGATAGATGAGCTGCTCAAGTGACCAGAGGCCAGTGCCTGATGCTACCTGGGCTTTGCATGTGTGTGTATGTGTGCATGTATGTAAATAACTGTATTCACGTTTCGTATGCTCTCTGCATTTTTTATGAAAGCCAACTGGGCATAAGAATGTCTGTGCTTATGTGACAGTTGGTAAGGCGCATTATCAAAGAGTTTTGAGCTTATGAATCCTCTCAAGCCGTTGTGATCTCCACTTCTTCCATCCACCCTTAAAAAACCTAATATGAATAACATATCAATGGCATTGAACAGCCTCTGAAGCGTTTCATTTTAATTCAATTATCATGTAGTAAACTTCACTTCTATTATAACTATCATAATGAAATTGGTTTCATATAGTAGTAAGCTTCACTTTTATTATAACTATCATAATGAAATTGGTTCCATATAGATTGAGCAGCATCTCTATCTTGATTGGCAACAGCAGAGTTAATTCGATGTATATCTACTGTATATATATTTATGTTTTATGATCAGCATCTGATCTGATGTGAACTGGACTTCTTTTGGAACTAATTATTTTTAAGGTATTTCGGTATACAGTTTTTATTTACATTCATTTATTTACTTTTGATTCCATGCCATCCAAATCGAGTGCCGAGTGCTAGTCAGATAGCTGTAGTAGAACTTGAGTTCATATGGGACATATATGTAGATATTAGAGGTTTGGTTTATGATACTTGGTCAACTGAACTAAGTACATAGAAAAGTACGAGTCTGCACAGCAAATATTTTAGAAATCAACATCGTTCGCATAGTGTTTATAGATTTATTGAAATATTTTTGACTGTATATTTATAAAATTAATGAAATTCAGTTTGGCTCTTTGTTTCATTTTATATACTATATATACACATACATTGTACAATATTATATTATGTTATGCTTTATAAAACAGCCATAGAAATTACCAATTGAAAAAGCTAAAATAAAAAGAAATCGATAAAAATTGACTTTGTTTCGGTTTGCATTGTTTTGTTTTGTTTCGCATTGATTTCAATTCAATTCAATGGACATATTAGCATATTGTACGCTAGGGTATTCAGTATTCGGCATTGTTTTTGCGTCACACAAACTCTTGTTCCACTCAAGTTGGCCGCTCACTTGGTCGTCGTGTAAGCGATTCTTGACATCGAGCTTGGATCACGAGTTCTGCGAGGGGCCAACAGAGTTGAGATGGGTATACGGAAATTCGGAAACTCGAGAGCTTCCGCTCACTTCCTCGACACCCAGTTGCTATCGGCTAGATGGGCTTTATTTGATATTCGCATCGAGTACCGTTTGTTTTGATTGTTTTCAAATTGCATTGCTGTTAATCCAGTTATGTGAGAAAGTGGTTTCGTAACATCGGGAATCCAGATCAGAGTTCCGATCGCATATCCGCTTCTCTCGTTAGACGTTGGATTAGCAGCGCTGTGGAGTGGCAACTGTGGATGGGGGGGAGGGAGTTGGGCTTGCGGCTCGTAAATCAATGCCAAGTTTAAGGCCTTACGATCAGCTCCTCGAGCACTGAAAAAAACCAATTAAAGCGCTTGTATGCTAATGAGGTGCTCATAATTTTTTAATATGAGCAGCCGCACCGCCGCACCACCGCAACACGTCGTAAACAAACATTGATCTTTGATAAGTAGCGGCCCATAGGTGAAAGGTGCGATCGACAATCAAATCGGATAAAGACGTCTTCATCTTTTCCATTGTGGTTGCTGCTGCGGTTGCTGCGACCTTCGACTCTTCATATGCAAATGTGCACCACCGAGAGATGAAGCGTTTTTTGCAGTGGTTGGACAGACGGTATCTTTGATGGTCATGAACCTGTCATAATAAAGCAATCTCCGAGTTTAAGAGAGCTTTAAATGGCAAGTATCTTTTATTTGATTTAATAGCGTTTATATATTTCGTATATCTATCCCTAAGATGGCTCACACACACACACTCACACACATTCATACTCGCACACACGCACACACTCAATCAGTCACAGAGGTGGTAAGACAGTCATTTGGCTCTGTGATGCAAAGTTAATTCAACTAAAATCGATGCTTATGAAATCTATGTATATGAATTGCTGTCGCTGTGGCTCGGTGGTGCTCAGCGCCTTTGTATTTGCGCGGTGCCGTAGGAGGTCAGGCCGGTGGTGTGCGGCACTGTGGCATAGGAGGCGCCCGCCTGGAGCGGCAAATTCGCCACATTCAACGGCATCAGGCCAAAGGGTACGGGCAGCTTCAGGTTCAGCGAATTGCTATCCGAATGGGTGGCTATGGCACGGCCCGTCGCTACTGCTGCTGAAGGTGCCGCGGCAGGGACAGGTGCAGGGGCAGGCGCTGGCGCTGGTGCTGTCAGTGCTGCAGCAATAGGGGCTGCATTACCGCCGAAAACATAGCCACGGCTGGTCAGCACCTGTGTGAATGCCGCATGCTCCAGCGCTGGCTCCACAAACTGGCGTGCCACATGCTGCTGCGCACGCTGTGGAGCACGTGGCACTGGATAGTGATAGGCGCCCAGCTGGGGGCTAGCGGAGATGGAGTAGTCCAGGTGCGAGACATCCGCTCGCACCGCACTCGAGTGCAGCGCCAGGCCGAAGAACAGAAGCAGCACCACAACAGATTTCTGAAAGAATCCGTTAGAGATTAGATCACATGTCAGGCACAGCACACAACACACACACACACTCACTTTATGAGACATTTTGAGTGCCGTTAATTGGATGTTTCACTTTTATTGCACCTGAACACGAGTATTCAATAAATTGTTGAATGCGTTTCGTTTGCGGTTTCCGTTGTGGACGGGCGCAGCTTTTCGTACTGATTAAAATTTGTGCGCGAGCTGAAGATGCTTTTTATAGCTCGACTACTGAAGCACGGAGAGCCACAGCTGAGCTTCAGCTGAGTTCTGCCTGAGGACAGGTGGGCAGACGAACGAGGCGACCAGTCAAACATTCGCGATGACGACTCGACCAGTCCAAGAGCCAGGCAAGTGAGACCTGAGCTGAACAGACTCCGTCTCGACTGATGGCTACCCTGTAATGTGCAGTTAAGCTAGAGTAGTTGATGAGGTGGGGTATCATTAGCTGCTGAGGCCTCAACTAAGAGCTGCCATATATTTAACTTTCTCACTTTTATAATTCTACGTTCGATTGAGTTTTATAAGGTAGAAAAGGGTCTTATTACATTTATTTAGAATAAATATATAAATAATAAAATATTTGTATAATTGTATATACCTAATCAAAACATATTCACTAATTTATTATTATTAAAATTATATTCCAGCTCATTCCACAAGTTCCCCTCAATTCAGGCATACCCGCTTCCGCCATTTGTTTGATCACTGGGCATGCAAACAGAAATCAAAATGCGTTTGTGCTTCTGCCGCTACCTGCTGCCTGCTGCCGCTGCCGGCGTCGCTGCTGGCGGCAAAAAATATTTTGACTTTCGGCTTAGCTTTAGCAGTGGCAGCGGCGGCGGCGGCGCGAGCTCTCTGCTGGCTCTACTTATTTATTCTGCTTCTGTTTAACCGTTTGTTGTTGTTGTTGTCTCGCTCTCGCTGCCTCACTCTCGCGTTCTCTCTCGCTTGCTTTGTGTCATTGTTTTTCACTGTAGTTTGAGGGAGCATCGTTCCGCTGCACCATTGGCATTTACTGTTGTTTTTGTTGTTGCTCTGCTCTTGCTGTCGTTGTTGTTGTTGTTGTTGCCTTTTCTGTTGCTCTTCTTGTTGTTGGTTATCTTGTGACTCTGTGTGACTCTGTGTTTTCTGTGCTAAGTTGTTCGCATTTTGTATGAGCTGCTTTGCCATTTGTTGTTGTCGCTGGCTCAAGCTCTGCCGCTGCCGCTGCCGCTGCCACTACCACTGCCTCTGCTGCTACTCTGCCTGTTGAGCAGCGTCTATTGATAATATTTGGTTTGCCTTGCATATAAATCACTGTTGGTCATTTCGATTGGCATCCAAACTATGCAACAGGCCACAGCGATTCAGTCAGTCAGCCAGTAAGCTAGTCAGCTAGTCAGTCAGGGTCGTCGCCAAGGGGGTTATTAACTAGCCGCTAATGTCGGGTAGCTGTTAATCGATTGATTATTATTCCAGCCAGAGCTGACGTTAATTGACTTTATAAGCGACTTAAAGTGTGCTTAGAATTGAAGGAAATTTTGTCAAGAGGCCAACGCTTTCAATGCAATAAGATTACAAATTCATAAAAATAAATACATATTAAGCCGAGTTAACAGAGCAAATCCCGAAATGTTTTATCTTAATCACAAGATCTCTATAAAGACATTAATATTTAATTTATGAAAGCTCAGTTAGGAGCTATTCAATTGCTGCCCCCTTCTGCAGGCGCGCACCTGGTCGGCGTTTAGTGGCAAACAAATGAAATAACTACAACAGTTTCGACACCTTGCCAGCATGTTGAGCATTTGAGCTGTTGTAAATTTGGGCTTATTAAACACAAAGCGACAGTCATGTGACATCAGCTACGAGATGGTCAGCCAATTGGCTAGCACCGGGGCAGCGACGTCAGCTGCGGCGCTTTTGGCAGAGACGGACTAGCTAATAGGTCTTTAGATACTGCTGTTTGGGAACTCAATTAAGACGGCAGCCCCCAACAACAAATTGACGGCAGCACGCCGAGACCGAAGACCGAAGACCGAAGACCCAAACTCAAACTCAGACTGAAACTAAAAACAAAAAGCAAATAATCGAAAATTTAGGAATAATGCATTTGAATGTTAACGACTGCCAGATACTTGTTCGCAGTACAACAGTAAACCAATTTATGTATGTACATATTTTAGATAACATATCTGAGCGGATTTTTAATGTACTTTTTGTTGGGCTTTATTTATCAAATTTGTTGGCCGTAACTCTCTACATTTAATTGACTAAATTGTTGTATTTATCTTGGCTTAATGGGCATTTGTGTATATTAAACAGTGGAGTGAGGGCGCGCTAAGAGAAATGGGGAGAGGAACAGTGGAGTGAAACAATGAAATCGAATATCAAAGCAAACAGTAAAGGAAAATTGGAGTGGAACAGTCAAGTGTCATCAATGTCTAATCTCTGATATCTATCCATCTAGTCATTACTGCAAACCGAAATACTCTCTTTGATTGTCTGAACGAGCATTCAACAGATTCGTGAAGATTCGTGCTGACCTCCTCCGAAATGTATTCAGTTATAATTTGTGCTAATAAAATCGTTGGCTATGTTTATGCATGGATCGAATATACTTGTATATATTTATACTATACACATACATACATACGTATATGTATACGTATGGTTGACCCATTTGATAGATTTCGATTTGCTTAACGCTGACAGCTTCAATGAATTTCGCATTGAGGTGGGTCAATCGAACCTCAGTTGGCTACGTTAATAATGTTTTTATTTATTTACGGTATCTCTCTCGCAGCAGGTGGTTGGCTTGCTCACACATTTTTCGGTGGTGGTGGTGGTGCTGGTGCTGGTCTGGCGCTATCTTAAGCACCATCCGTTGCATAATTAGACACGCTGGCGTTCTCGCCGCCGTCTCGTAAATTCCGCGGAAGACGTTTGTTATCATCAAATATTAATCGTGGACTTATAAATTCTCGCTTAATTAATTGCCGTTCGATTAGCATTGAAATGAACATGATTATAGCTAAGTGGTGTGGTGTGGTGTGGTGAGGTATGTCTGGGTTGGCTGTGCCTCACCAGGCGTTGGTGTCGCACGGTAGCTCAGCCGGTGCGGGAGCGTGGGCCTCGTAGGTAACCACGGGGGGCGGGGCATGAACCGACACTCGGGTGTAGGTGGGCTGGGCGTGTGCGTGGTATGTGACTGGTGGTGGTGGTGGTGGGGGAGCATAGCGGGCCACAACGACTGCCGGCGGTGGTGGTGGTGGAGCATAACGGGCTACAATTACAGCCGGTTGTGGTGGTGGTGGCGGTGGTGCGGCATAGTGTACAACGGGCTGTGGTGCCTGGGCCACGTGCAGCACAGGCTGCTGCGGCGGTGCTGCAAATCCTGAGTAAGTGGTGGTTGTAGTGGTTACAGGTGGGCCCAACGAATACTTGATAACTGGAGCTGGCGCTGAGTAGGCGCTAATGTGTTGCGTAGCGTATTTGAAGTGTGGTGGTGGTGGTGCAGAGTATGTAACGTGTTGCGGTGGTGCTGCGGCATAGGTGAGCGCAGGTGGGGCGCTATAGACGGTATTCACGGCGACAGGCGAAGGTGGGCCATGGAAGAAGCTGGCTTGGGTGGGTGATGAGAGACAGATGAGGAAGAGCGGACCGAACTGAAAGAGAAAGGGAGAGTTAGAGTGAGGTGAAAGTGGAATGGCAGAGCGGAAAACAAAAGAGGAATTTTAAATTGGAGTGAGACAGAGGAAAATCAGCAATGGAAAAGAGGTATTGAATATCGAAATGGAACGGTGGAATGAAACAGTGTAATGTAAAACTGAACAGTTGAATAGCACGATGAAATGAACCAGTGGTATATAAATATGAATCAGTACGGAACTGTGGAATGGAACAATGGCAAGTTTGAATATGCCTTGCACCTAGCTGGGCAATCTAGGTTTATGTTGAGTTTATCTCCAGTTAGTTATAGCTGAGATGTGAGTCGAATAGAATATATATAGCCTTTGGACTATATCGAGTAATCCGATCCAAAATACAGCTCTCTTTGCACTACTAAGGTGTTGTAATACTGAAACACCCGAAATACTCACAATCTTCCACATTTCGAAGCACGGCAATTGACGATTTGTAGACGCGTTTATTGGTACGTTTGGACAATCAAAGACTTTCACATCAAATGAATTGTTTTCGTTGAACATCAGAGGTTTTTATACTCTTACTCTAGCGATTACGCAGTATGTGACAGAAACTCCATTACGGGAGCAGTTCACGCAGCCAAGGGCCACGTCCCATCGACAAGCGAATCGTGATGCCAAATGCACGCGGCACGTTTCGCAATCCCAATGCACTGTCCCCAAGGGGCAACGAAGGGGACGGGGAGAGGGGCAACCACGGAGGCAACTAGCGGCAGGTAGAGAGCGAGCAATAAAATTGGTTTTAGAAGTTGACTTAGGTTGTGGCACTGCGAGGGAGTTCCAATTCCGATTCCAGTTCCGTAAGGAATTGCAGGCACGTTTCGCGGCTCATGCCACAGCGACTGTGATTGATGGCCCCGGTTGCTCATAAACGCCAAAATATCAAAAGAAGACCACAAGTAAGTAATGGAAAATATGGGAATGCGCGACTAGAAGATACTGTGATGCGACGGAGTACTTAGGGAATGGTAAATGAGGAACCTGTGAGAGTTATCCTGAATGTGAAAGTGTGATGAAATCATTGATTAAACAGTATATATAGTATAGTATATATAGTTTCTATGGAATTATTTATTGGAATAGACTTTAGTGCGGCTATAGTTATTAAATTAATGTAAATTTAATAAATCGTTAATCTACAAATCAATTTTTCATTTATACTATAGTTCTTAAAGTAGTTATTTATAAAAAAAATGGTAAGGAAAGGGACTAACAGCCAAGTCTAATGCCTGCCTTAGCTCGAAATTTATAGAAAATTAAGACTTGGGTATTTACATCAATTTGTTCTTTTATTTCATATATATTTCTAAGTGTTTTCAATACTTCAATACATATAGCAATATGTTCTTTTGAATCCTATCTACTTAACTTTTAACTACCTATTCAACTTAACTTCTATACTGTTCGTCTACTAATGCCAACAGGTTGTGTAAGACTTTGCTCTTGGCTCCCCTGTACAATTCTTATATGTAATCTACTCTAGTATCTTCTTCTATAACACACCCTTACTTAATGCATATATAGCATACCCGACTTCTCTAATATTTTCCACATTTTACGACACAAGATATCGTTTAGTGGCCGCATTTTAAGCCCAGCGCCGCGAAGCAGTTTACGCCGAAAGACGCTAAGCGTGGCACTCGAAAGTATGCAATGAATACAGCTCGTAAAATTGGCATCCAATGGCTTACGACTCCAATTAAATGGTTGCCAAATGCGCAACACGTGGCAGACGGCACCACCGGGCCCACCGCACCACCTTCAATTGCGAAACGATGGAAAAATTGTCAGCAGAAATTAGCATAACGAAGTGTTTCCCAATCAGAAATCAATATGTTTAATGTATTCCAAGTGGGGGGCATTGCTCTGCCCATTTCCATTTTCCCTACTTTTTCTTTTGCATTGTCTTCCTTTGTTGTTCGCCTTTGAGTGGCGCACATGCCGCCGCCTTGAAGTGCCTCTGGCAACGCAGCGGCTCCCACAGTTGCCAGCAGCGGCAAAGCGCTTTAAGTTGTGGGGCACGTGGTGCGCGCTCCACCTGTTACGGCATCTTGTGGCACGCGTTGCACGTTGCTCACGCAGCGTAAAATTCCATCACACACACTCGCATTGTTTTGGCTTTTGAAGTTTGGCAATTGCCCCCACCAGTCGTGTGTGTGTGTGTGCGTCTGCCAAGGCAAATGTTGCTCATACGCCGCGTGTGCAGCGCTGGCACTGAACTCACTTGAACACACTTGCCGCTTGCCACTTGCCACTTGCCACTTGCTACATCTGCGTCGCGTGTTGCAGCTTAACGTGCAGCAAATCCCAGCGCCTTAACTTAATCTATTGCTTAGTGCGCTGCACTCGGGCGCAGTTCATCAGGCTGTTCTATAAATAGGAAGCGCTAAGCTGTTGCTCGACTTGTTGTTTATCTCTTTTGCAAATTTAATCAATGTTAAAACTTATGGTTTTTTTAATTTAGATTAAATTTTAGTATTTAAAGAAAACTATATGTTGTAATATAAAAATTATACAATATTAGGATAATTGTAAAAAAAATATTTATTTTGAGGAACTTGTGCTGGATTTTTATTTTTTATTTTTTAACAATTCACGTATCCGAAAGTGACTGTAAAATGAGCTTGGATTAAATATGTACATTTATTGTTATATTTTTATTAAATTTCTGTCATAAAATTTCATAAATATGTATTTTAAATGCCTAGTCTAGTCTGAGATAGATATTATTTTTAGTGAATCTGAAAGTCTAATATGAAACTATATTAAAGTCAAAACTAAAGCAAATGCTTAGTAAACTTTGCAGCTGTCAGCATACACCTTAGACCAGCTCATGCTGGGTATAAGCAATAAAAATAGTTAAGCGTGTGCTGAGTAAGAGATTTTCTGGTTGTATAAACATGAGCAAATGGCACACTGTACTATTTCCTAAAATAAATTACGAAGTAAGCGGGCTTAGGCATACAAAGAGGTAAATATAAGAAAACTTTTACAACAGAAATCTTGAAATTAGTTGAAGATAAAATAGAGAAAGTTATCTAGACAGAGTTTATGTTAAGATGTGCTTCATAATTACACATACATACAACATATTCAATATACTCTTGAGGTTACAGAGTATAAACAGCAAGAATAGCAAGCAAATTTGCTCACTGAGCTGTAAGTTTCGCTAGACAGAATAAAGTAGAAAAACACATAGGCCATTGCCTACACAGTACAAGAAAAATCAAAAATAAATAAATAAAAGTAAAAATTCAAGATGAACCGAAACTCGTGCTCCTTAATATACCCCTTCCGCCGTTACTGAGAGAGTATAGCAGGCAAAGTCAACGTACGCTTCAAGGTCAATGCTAAGAGAAGTGAGGACTATGAGAGAGAGAGAGGGGGAGAGACAGCAACTGGAGCACAGAGTGCGTGGGTCACGCGTGTTTTTGTGCATTTCCTGGGGGCAGGATCAGTTGGCCAGCAGCAGCACCACAGTGGCTGGGTGGTTGAGTGACCGATGCAACAACTGAGAGTAATTAAACTCAGAACTTGTCATATGGCATGTCGCACGTAAGCCCCGGCTATTTCTGCAATGGCGACTGAATGCGCTTTTAATTGCATATGTGACGCAGTCGCAATCAGCTGCAAAGCCTTGTGCTGTTTGTTTTGCGGTCGAAGGTCCTTGCCCTGTTGCCAGTGGCCATTGGCAGATGGCAAATGGCAAATGGCATGCCCGGCACGTAGCTGGCGAATCAACATGAATAATTGAATTGAGTGTGGAATACTTTTAAGCTGACGAACTTAGATCGACTGCCGGAAAAGCCACTCAAAGTTTTTCTAAGGGGAGAGAGAGGGAGAGAGAGAGAGAGAGAGGGAGCGAGAGAGGGAGCGAGCGTTGTCTCTCGCAGCTGCGAGCAGGTGTTTCGCTGTGGCCTCGCAGTGTGGGAAATCGCAACGGGAGTTAACTGTGCCATGAGAGCAAACTGTCGACCACGCCCCTTGCCCCCGCGGCCGACGACCTAAAGTGCATTTGCCGCAGAGACAAAATTGTTGCGCTTGGCTGAATATTCAATGCGCAAATGCGCAAGTAGGAAGCGACCCACAACCAGCTGCAGCAGCAGCAGCAGCAGCGGCGACAGCAGCGGCAGCGTCACAGCTTCACCACAGTCTGCTCTCTGAAGGTCGTTGCCAAATTGTGGTGCGGCCTTAGATGAACGCTCGATGGCCAACGCTGAACGCTCGACTGGCCAACCGATCCAACAATCTGTGGATCGACTGGTGTCAACGCTTCGATTCGTTTCGTTTCAACTTCACTTCAATAAAATTATAGTTTACAATCGTTGGGGCATAATTTATGCCGATAATGCGCATTGTATATCTGAAAATCTGCAATTATTGTACATTTCAGGCAAAGGCCAGCTAGGCACCACAACAGCACCATACAGCACCACACAGCACCACAATACGTGGCATTGTAGCCGAGCGAAGACAATAATCATTGTTCATACTACTGTTAGATTGGCTTTAGTCTAGCTCTAGTCGCTTCTAGTGCAACTCGTTTGGCTTTTGGCTGGGTCCATTAAAGTTTAATAAGCCAGCCAACTAACTTGGCCAACACAAATTATGTGACATATTTTGCGTTTGCTCGACTTTTTCGCAATTGCCAAATCAACTCAAAAACTGGGCACATGAAGTTTGAACAGGCTATGAAATAAATAATTATTTCAATTGCTCCACTCGCGACGCACTTTCATTGCAGCCACTTTTGCCACTTGCCACTTGCCACATTGCGCTACCTCGACCCCGCCCACCGCCCACCGCCTAGCGCCTGTCGACTCCTTGCCACCTTCTTTTGCTATTTATCAACTGGCAGTCCGCATAATTGCGAGGCGCTGGCATTTGTAATGCATTTTGCCAAGCAAATTTCAACACTCTGCCAACTACACTGAGCGAAAAGCCAACATATATGTTAAAGATATTAATGAATTGATATGAGTCTCAGTCAGAGATTTTTGCAAAATATACTGCGAATAATTGCAAAAAATGTAGTGTGGCAAAATATTTTGATTTTTTGTGATATTCTGGCCTAAATAAAAAATCTGAATTTGTTCATTAAACTTATAATTATAAAAAAAAAAAAAAAAAATAATAATATATATTTCAAGCACATTCTCTTTATACTGTATATGATTTAAAGGATATTCAAATGTTCAAATATTTCTCTTTATATTGTATATGATTTAAAGGATATTCAAATGTTCAAATATTTATTTATTTTAATTTTAATTTAATTTTAATTTATTTACTTTAAAAATATTCTCTGTTAGTTTTATTTTAGATATATATAAGAGCTAAAAATTAATCAAATATAGCTTAAATGATCGTCTCATTATTGTTGTTCATTTAAAATAAAAATTTATAAATTTAAGAAACAAAATTTGTATATAAAATAAAATTATTGATTTTATTTTTATTATTATTTTTAAATATATAAATTTACTAATTCCTCAAAATTTATTAAGTCACTGCCTAATGCGTACAGTGTATTTAGCACTCAAACAAATCATCAAAACATTCCTAACTTAATTACCAAAATATTTCCCGCACTATGCATTTTTTTTACCAAATTCCGACTGCCACAAATATTTTCACAGTTACAGCTAACTACAATTTCATGGCTATAAAATATTCTTAAGTTCTTGCCTTTAACAACAAGAATTTTCGCAGCTTTGTTCGATTGCATTCACATACATAAGTATTAGTCAACGCCCCAGTTGACCCCCATTTTTTGCGCAGTGTATGCAGTAAATAGAGATCTATTGTTTAAGAGTTTTGAATCGTTTTTATTTACTTATAAGTCGAAACCACGAGCATTGCACAATAACAAAAAATAAAACTTATTTACAGCATATTAGCTTGATCTCCCTATCTCGCTCTCTCTTGCTGTCTGTCTCTGTCTCTGTCTCTCACATAAAGGCTGATAATGATGTTGGTTCCGGGCTTTGACAGCAGCAAAGCCCCGAACATTGCACTGAGTAAACTCTCACAGAATCTCTCGCTGTGATCCGATTTGCTGTGTGGATGTTGCGGATGTTGGGGATGTTGTGTGGATGTTGCTTTTGTCGTTCTGTGCGTTGTCGTCGAGTGATGTGTGGCTGGAGGCGATGCTTAGTGCAGATAGCCGTGTCCGTAGCCGGCGTAGCCCAGGCCGTAGCTGCCGTAGCCGCCGTGGTAGGTGGAGGTGGTGTGCAGAGCAGGTGCAGCCACAACGGCGGGCGCGGCATGGTAGATGGGAGCGGCATGGACCACGGGGTACGCCTTGGTGGCCACCTTGTAGGTGTTGGCATAGGACGTGGCCACCGGGTGGATGGTCTTCACAATCGGGGCGTGCACAATCGGCGCGGCGTAGCTCTTGATAATTGGAGCATGCGAGACGATGGCCGGAGCATAGGCGGGCGCCAGAGCTGAGCCGTAGCCGAGCCCGTAGCCATGGCCATAGGGTGAGATGACGCCGGCGTTGGCAACGGCGCACAGGGCAGAGAGTACAGCGATCTGCAGGATAAAAGAGAGACAGAGAGAGAGAGAGAGATTAGTCTAAAGCTGCTTGCCAGCCGCCAGCTGTCGCGTATCCTTACCAGCTTGAACATGTTGCTTGGCTTGGTTTGGTTTGCTTGGTTGGTTGTACTTGACTGAAGAGTTGAGTGTGTTATGCTTAAACAGCCGCGCGACTGGGCATATTTATACCGAATCAAAAACTTGAGAAATATTCTGAAACCGCATAGACAATGCGACAGCAGCAACGGCAGCAACAGCAACAGCAGCAGCAACAGCAACAACAATCAACGAGCGTGAACAGCGAATCAAAAGCGTGAACGCCCAGCCCTGTCCAGTCGGCTTCGTGGCGGCGTCGGCTTGCGAATCGGCTGCCTGAGAATCGCATGCAGAGACTCGAGCACTGAGACTTGGCCAGTGTGTGAGATACGATCTTGATTCGAACTTGATGCAGTGCCACAGAAATCAGTCACGCGCCACCAGCAACCACCAAGTGGTTGCCACCAGCTAGAAAACTCCGGGCCCAATCAATTAGCTGCCGGCTTCAAATGAGGAACTCCAAAGAGGCAACCACATTGTCAGCCTTTTGCGGTTGCTGCTTCTTGTGGCTTCACTTAATTGTCTTACTTGCAACGATTTGCTGGCAATTAACTTCCATATGCTCGCTGGATTATGCAATTGGTGCGTAGTTCTCAGCAGCGCCCACGGATTCCTTTCTAAATCGGCGCACGCACGTGATTATCAATCAGCAGCTGGAGCTGATTGACAGTCAACGCGAAAGATCTCGCCGTAGGTGTAGGAATAAACATTCACAGCTCCAAATACCCCAAAACTCCCCCTACTGCCTGCACCGTCAACCGAATGCAAATGCACTAAACGAGCTCCGTTCGCTGATCAATCCAAATAGTGTATGAAAAATCGCACTCGCTAATAGCTGACAACAAATTGCGAATGGCCAGAGCAGCTGCAGTTGCAGCTACTTTGTTGTTGTTGTTGTTGTTGTTGTTGTTGTTGTTGTTGTTGTTGTTGTTGCTGTTGCTGTTGCTACTATTGCTATGTTGTACGATTGTACATTAATTTTTTGTAAACTGATTTCTTATCGGCGGCGCGGCGTACGCGCCGTATGCGTAACTCGCAACTAACTGCAAAATCAATTCGCATCGCAAATGCAAATAAATTACAGTAAATAAACAACTAGCGGTAATTGAATGCGTTCAATGATTGACAAATACCCTGGAAGTTCGATCAAAGTTTGGCTAACTGAGCATATATTATGAGTCGAGCGTCTGTAGCTGGAAACATACTGAGCTACGTATACGTAATATTCGTTCAGGCTTTGTATGCGGCATTTACTTCAAATAAGTTTTGTTTTTCGTTTCTTTAATCTGCAACTGAGTCAGTCTTAGCTGTCATATGGTTAATATAATCTACATATAGAGAATGCGGCTTACAATTCATGAAATGTATATATTATGCGGCACACAATTTACATAATCTATATATTATATTAAATAGTGTCAATAGAGGGGATATTAAGCATACGCTTTATGCATCGTTAGATTCATGAGTTAGATTTTATAGGGAGTACAGTTACTTTGTTTTTCAGTTAGCCTATACTCAATATATTTTTGCATTACTTACCATTCACTTCCACTAGCCATTCACAATTTCTTAGCAATTGGAGTCTTATCTGCCCGCATCTCTCTCTGCTGCTCACATAATAATTTCCAACCATAATAAACCCCTTTTGCAAGAGTGGGCATATTACAGGGTATTTGAAAAATAAAATGCAATCCATGCTCGAATCATATTTGGGCACTCGCCTTAATGGCCTGCCAGATTTCTTAATAGCCGTTCTTAATATCTTGCAATCCTGCTCCAGCCCCTGCCTGCTCCTGCTCCTGCTCCTACACGCAACCCCTTGCCACACCCCACTCCACGGCTTTCCGGGCACGCCTCATCATTATCTGGCTGCAAATCTCGGCAATTCGGGTAGCTCGACTCGGCAGCATAATCAATGCAAATTCAAAGACTTTGTATGTTTCTCGATTTGTTGGATTTGCCAGATGATTGTTGTTGTTGTTAGCATTGTTGGCTGTTGTTGGCGTTCAGATAAAAGGCGATTATACAATCGGGCGTAGGCCTCTTGTGTTGATGTTGCGCGCGGGGCCTTGACTGGCAGCTGCTGAGAGTTTTGATTCTGTGCACAAAGCGCGCTTAAAGTTTATGGCGCATAAATCAATCCGAAAAACAAGCAAGAGGTGGACAATTCTTTTGGCGGTGCCACAAATCTGCATATTGACGTCAGCTCAACCCTTCACCGGACACCTCGAGCCACACTAAACAACAGCAACAACAACAACAGCAACTCTGGCCTTATCGCTATGCAAATGGTATGAAGTGGACACACGCGAGCAATCGAATGATCGAATGATTGAGTAGTTGATCGATTGATTGGGGCAATAAAACAGGATACGATTTTGGGTGCGTGCGTGCTTGCCACCAAGCCACACAACCACCCACTCCACCCACTCCAACCACTCGTATGTGGTTGCAGCTCAAATTGCATTTTAATGGCTTTTGCGGCTGCTGCATTGTTCGACTGTTGCCTGTTGCATTGGGCAAGCGCTTGGCCACGGCACAAATCAAAAGCGTATTTCAAATTAATAGACGTCAATCTTTTCGCTGGTGATTTATGACTGGAAATGCAATCGAAATTTCACAAGTGCAGCGAAATATATTTCTAATTTACTTGTTGTTTAATTAGTGTCGGTTTTTTGCATAATTATATATACACTTTATATATACATATGTATGTGTGTATGTATGTACGTGTGTTGACGAGCGGTAGAGCAATTCGCCAATTAAGTATACCACACGGTGGACGCGGTCAAGGTCGAGCTGCCGCAATGTCGTGCACATTACAGCGACTAACAACAACAACAACAACAACAAATAATAATTATAATAACAGCAACTGAAAACTGTAACAATGGCAAGACAATTGAAACAGCGAAAAAAAAAACATTGCTAGAATACCTTCAATTCACAGCGACTGCGACGAGCACATAAAACAAGAAACCGAATGAAGACGGCGAGTACTAAATAATAGACGAAGTGTGAATACTCTAACAGATCAGGAGAGTGGGGGAGGGGCTGTACTTAAATAAGCTAAATAGAACAATTCTGGTTAATATATTGCTTGGCTGTTAGTAGCTCGAACTGGATTAAGTTATGTGAATCGTTATATGTATATATATTATATATGACCAGATGCAGTAATATCTCTCATATAAATATAGGTTAGATAGTATAGTAGTGTTTGTATAAATTTGTTGTGGTAATTGTAAAATCAGTAGAGAGAAGTTTTTAAATTAATTATAGAAATTAGTAGTTGTAGTCGTAGTAATATTATTGAAAATAAGTTATAGTAGTAGGAGAGGTAGTAATATTAGAAATTGTAGTAGTAGAAGTAATAGCAGTATTAGTAGCAGCAGTAGTTGCAATAGTAATATTAGTAGTAGTAGAATAATAGTAGTTCTAGTAATAGTAGTAACAGTAGTGGTAACTATATTAATAATAGTATTAATAGTAGTATCAGTAGTAGTAATAATAACAATAGTAGTAGTATTAATAGTAGTAGTAGTATATGTAATAGTAGTAGGAGTAATAGCAAAAGTAGTAACAATAATAATAGTAGTAGTATTAGTAGTAGTGGAAATATGTATAAAAGTAGCAATAGTAGTAGAAATATGTATAAAAGTAGTAGTAGTAGTAGCAATAGTAGTGGATATATGTATAAAAGTAGCAATAGTAGTAGAAATATGTATAAAAGTAGTAGTAGTAGTAGCAATAGTAGTAACAATATTAATAGTAGTAGTACTAATAGCAGTATTAATAATAATAGTAATAAGTTACACAAGTGGGAGAGTTGTAATGGTAGTCAAAGGAGGTAAAAATAGTACTAACAATAGATAGAAATAGTAGAAAGCAGTAATAGTAGTAGCTGTAATAATCGCATTAAGAAGTAGTGCTCTAGAGAAAGAGTAGTTATATAGAGAATGAGTAATTTTAATAGCAATATGCATAAGTTGTTATAGTACAAGTCTAAATACTAGTAGTAGTACTGCTATTAGTATCGTACCATTAATATAGTACTATTAAAAGAATGTATCAATGAGCGTCATTATAGTCTAGTATTTGTAATTGTAGCTTAGCAACATTGTGGGGAATGAATATCAGAAAAGCAGTTAGAATTACAGCATTGCCTACCTAGCAAACATACCAAAAGACCCTTAACTAGGGTATTCACACATACATATAAAATATTAAGTACATACATATGTATATATGTAGTATTTTCATTAATGAAATTAAAAACGACCGTCAATTTGATTCGGCTGCTTCTGTTGTTGCTGTTGCTATTGTTGTTGCTGTTGTTGCTGTTGGCACTGCCTTCGGTTTATCCCAAGCTGCACGGCAATCTGCTTGGGCTGACGCCTGCGTTGTGCCTCGCTTTTGGCCAATTAAAGTTCTTTAGGCCAACTTGTCGTTGGAGGACATTGCGTAATTGCCCGCGCGCACACAACAAAGCACGTAGACTAAGTTGTTGTTGTTGCTATTGTTGTTGTTGCTACTACTGTTCTAGTTTTTGTTATTGTTGCTGCTGCTGGTGTTGCTGCTGCTGTTGTTGTTGGGTATGTTTGCCTTTGAGTCTGAGTCTCTTTGACAGCTTCAATGAGCTCCGCTTGCTTGTTTCAATGCAAATTGCAGAATTGGCTTCATAATTAAGTAGTTTACCTGAGCGCACGCACACCAGCTCCGACCACGCCCCTTTCGTTAAGCTCGTAAATTAAATTCGCAAACACCCCAGCGGCAACAGTTGTTGCTGTTGCTGTTGCTGTTGTCGTTGTCTGTCAACCAAATTGTATGCAAATTGTTTTCAGCGCATTTTTCATGCACACATCGCGTCGTGTGATTTATGTGTTGCTCCACAAGTCCCACACGTCCTAGGCTATCGCGTCTGCGATTATTGCCTTTTAATTGAAGCGAATTCGGTGACTTGCATGTCAGCCACGCCCCCTCTTCAGCTCGCTCTCAGCCCTCAGCACTGGACTACCTGCTTTAGTTTAGTTACTTTCACTTTTATGTTGTTGTTGCTGTCCTCTAATTGCGATCAACAACGTGTGAATATCGATCGAGCGACTCATAGACGACTCTCCGCATTACTCACCCTGAACTTGACTGGCGACTTTTGTTGCGGTTGCGCTCCCCATAAGCCCGCTGATTATTGTCTAATGCGCACACACCTCTAAAGCCAGCCCGAAGCCAACTTCACATGCCCCGTCATAAATATGATGTGTACAAGCTGCTGATTTCCACAGCTCCAAAGCCCGACAATTACGGCTAAAATTAGTCTGTGCATACACTGTGGAAAAGTGCATGAAAATATATTTTCTAAAATAAATAATATAAATTTGACGAAATATTTAGGTAAAGAAAAGATTGATATATTTTGATATATTTTCTATTTGTTAAGAGAACAACATTATTCCATAAACTTATCACAATTTCCATCTATCACCTCTCTAACTCTAGCTGCACTTTTTTCGCTCAGTGTAGCATTTGTAATAGCAGTCGAGCAAACAAAATAAATGCAAAAAAACAATAAAGAAACATGAAATAAGAACACAAACGGCTATAAAAAGTCAATTAGAGTTAATGATAGCTGCGGCTAAACTACACATTAAATTTGTTTGGTACGCTGATTGAGTCAGTTGAGCCACAGAAATCGCCGGATCCGGTTTGCGGCACCGAATATTCTGTAATCAAGGAAGTGGCCGAGACATGGCCAACAAAGTTTCTGTTTTTTTGTCCATGTTTACATTTATGTTTGTCAAGCGACAGGAAAAACAGCCAGTTCCCAGCATTTTGTGTAATTCGGCCATTAAAATTAATCAGACAATCGATGTGACGCCCATTGGAGCGAACAGCTCCAGAACCGACTGAGAAACCAACTGAAACCCATTTACATTTAGCATTGCAGGTGCTTATTATGTATGAGTGCTGTATATGTGTATGTGTATGTGTGTGTGTGTGTGTGTGTATGGCGAAGACCGGCTAATGGACAGACATGTCCGCTAAATATAATCGCATTTTGCGGCCAACAGCGGCCTAGCACGACAGCCAACATATCGCACTGCTCGCAACCCAAAAACATGGCTATTACCAAAGCTAATTAAGCCGCTTGTTGCACTGGCTAAAACTGCCCCACCAGCTGCTTGTGACTCCCAGCGGGCGGCTGCTTGTTGCTTGTTGCCAATTTCTATTAATTAAACTATTTAGTCGACGCGCACCTCACCTGCCTGCCTGCCTGTCTATCCATCAATGCGCTACGCATGGCCCACAACTTGTCAACAGAGTCTCGATTCTGTCGCCAGAGACAAAGTTTGAATTGAGCTCAGCTATTTATAGAGCAGCTGTGTCCTATAAAGAATTTGAAGTTGTGTATTTGAAATTGAGGTAAATTTCTCGTCAATCTTGTTGAGCTCGATTATCGTAGTTAGATACTCGAATATCTGAAAGTTAGGATTTAATTGGAACCCTTCAAAATAATTGCAAAACATCAACGGAAATCGAAATTTTTACGGCCTTAGTTCAATTTAAGTTTGTAGCTGACAATAATTTGCAATGGCATTGAACTAAATGATTTATTGAACTGTCTGCAGATTACATGGATTATAAATATTTCAAGAATATCCCAAATTAAAATTAATCTAAGAAAACATAACATAATAAATTCTTTCATAAAAGTAAGCCACAAAGCGAAAGAGTTTGGATCCAAACAAAATGCTTCGCATATCAGTTCAACTATTTCCTTTGACGTTTCATAGCTTAAACAGTTATACCCATATTGGTGCTAATTACTACTCAACTATTCAGCCAATGTCTAAAAATAGTTAATTACTTCTTTGGGCAAATGCAATTTAATTAGCTAACGATAGCGGGCGCTTTTTAGCCCGGCAGCGGCACAAGGGTTAAGCGTGCAGGCAAAGCTGAAGCTGGGCTTGCAAAAGCTCTCGAGCGAGCGAGCTTTATGGGCAATGCCTAAAGGTAGGCTCCATTTGGGGCTGCCATTAAATGAAAAATCATAATGCAAAAGCCACCAAATCGTCTTAAATAAACCGCAAGTGGGTCAAGCAGACTCATTTCGCATCGCATTCAATGGCCGAGTCCAATTAAATGACACCCTAATAGGTGCCGGTGCACCCACCAGCTCTGCTGCTGGCCATTGTCCGGCCAAGTGGGCCAAAGTGCTCCAAGTGCGAGTGTTATCCAAATGGAGCTGGCCACAACTGCTGCACTAATTATAAATTTAATTGGCTTCTGCTTTTTGGCGATGGCCGTCTGGGTCTCGGCATTTGCGTGTATCTAATTGAATCAGGCCCAAAGGTCGCGCCGAATGGGCTGGGAACTGAGCTGCCCAGTTGACGCAAAAGACAAAGCCAAAACCGGCTAAAACAGGCGACATATGTGGCCAAGAAATGGAGCTGAGTGCGTGACACGTGCTTTCAAGCGTGTCACGA